AGCTCTGAGTGTGTTGCCTCTTATGCCCCTTCCAGCCCTGCTCTGCCAGTGTTGGCGTCCTCTGCGTCCTCTCTAGTTCCTTCTCCTACTCCTTGCCCTTGTTCTATGCTGTCCTCAGGTATCAAATGCTCTCCCAGCGACTTTTTGCCAAGCCGCTACCCAACCCTCTTTCAGCCCTCTAGAAGCTCATTTCTTCCACTGCTCATGAGAAGTGAGGAATTTTAAACATACCCCCTCCCAACACAAAACAAAATGATGGAACCACTAAGACGCATACACATAAAGCTGAGTAAGGGCACAACCCTATTGTCACAACCAACCTCCCTTCTGACCCTATCTCCTATTGTTACACTTATTCATTGTGTCATGTACAAAACCGAGCCATGATCCTGCGAACAGCTGTGAGAGGATTAACCCTCGAGCCTCGCCAGAGCCCTGTTGAAGTCAGTGAGGCTCTGCATGGGTGTAGAAGTCCCATTACAGGATCAGGGCCTTAGACTGCACAGTCTTTAGGCTGGGGGACCTTGTCTCTTTGAAGAGCACAGCGGCCTCTGGGGAATGGCATAAATAATGGGTCGTGTAACTGGAATGGTGCTAAGCTGATTTACAGCAGCAGAGGGTCTGATCCAGTATCTTTTAGTATTACCTCCCCCAGAACGAACGAACTCTATGAAAGTATCATCCCTCCCACAAAGACCAAAGAGCAACCAGCCAAACAAGACATCATTTATTATTACTTTATTAACAACGCGGCTTACAGTTCTTCAAGTAAAAAGGGGATTTCTTTCATTTCGAATAAAAATTAAAATATAACTCTGAATATAGATTTTCATTTATTTACATGAAAACATATATACAGAATACAATCTTACAGCAAACTAACAACATGCCCTTTGCCCTGTTGAATTTTAAAAAGTAAGAACACCAGTAAGTTTGGGGGGGGGGGTTGTTACACACCAAAGGGGCTATATACATAAGATCTGAATCAAATCTGCGATATAAACTGGAATGCAAAACGGTCAAAGGACTTCCCACGGACACCACTACGAAGGGGTTATGCTGCTGGTTGCCATGCTATTTCCCATCATTATTTGCTTTAAAGGGATGATCGGGTGTAACTGATCATCTTTTTCTGATTTTCTTTTCGTTCTGAATTTACTAACCTAAGGGTTGGTTCTATCCAAACCGTACAGAAATGTCTTGCCTCCGTTGAACTGTTTTACTAGTGACACAGTCCAATGCCCGGAAGGATGACTAACCCTGCTTGTAGTCTCAATGGTGGCAGTTCTTAAATAGCCACACAAGCATTTTTCCGGCAATCAGGTCTATACAAAGGAGAGAACTTGGTTTATGTCCATTAATATTTACCATTGAGAGCCAAGGTCCTGATCCAGCAAAACACTGAAGCACATGCAGGGGAGCCATCACTTTGGTTTCCATGGAACTGCTCATATGTTTACAGTTTAAGCACGTGCTTGAGGTCCTGATCCAATGTCTATTTAAGTCTTTCTATTGACTTCAATGGAAATTAGACCAGGTCCTAAAGGTGGGATACACAAAGGTATTTAGGCACCTAACTCCCTTTGAAATCACCTAAGGGTTTTGCTGTCATGGGCCCAAACTCAGACGTTATCACCCAGGACCAGATCCCCCCGATCCCAAAGTTGGAGACTTGAAAATGCCATAAGCTTCCTCCCTGAGGGTTTCTTGGGAAGCATCCCCTCCGATGGACTGAGTTTGATGGGGAGAGGTGGCCTCCTGAACCCACAAATCCAGGGGGGCCGCACGAAATGGAACCCCAGAGCAAAGAACAATCTTATTCACTGGTCCCTCCTGCCTCATGAGTGCCTAAAGCTGTGCTGCTATTGGCCAACTCCCTCGGCAGCCACGGAGAAAACTAAACTCCTACCTGCGAACATCTGAAAGCTATAGACAGAGGACCTAGCGTTGACTGTATTTCTATTTACTGGCATGTTTTTCTTTTTTGGCACTTGAGTTTTTAGCCACAAGGAACAATCTGAGCCACGTCTATTTCAGAACACATTGCACGAGAAAAAGAAAGAATGTTCCAAATGGCCTGACATTTCTGAACTCCAAGAAACTGTAATGGGAATTGGCTCAATTCTCAGAGACACTGAGCATCTGCAGCGCCCACTGAAGTCAATGAAAAGGCTCCAGAAACCATCGGGCCGCCTTTTTTAAGTGGGTGAAGACTGATTTAGTGGCCTGGCCTTGGCCAGCTGGGTTTGAAAGAGCTGGTGACTGGGTTTGCTAAGGAATGCACTGACTTTCCAATCGAGACGGGTTTCAGATTAAATTTAGGTGGTGACAGGACAGATTTACGGGGATTTAGGCACCTCGCTCCGGTTCACTTTCAATGGGAGTTAGGCGCCAAGCCTGAGGAGCTTTTGTAAACCTCACTAGGCACCTCTCTGAATCTTTAGGAACCTGTGGCCCTGTGTAAATGGACGTGCAGGTAGTAGTGTAGACAGTATATCACTCACCTTCTCAATAAGGGCCCCGTCCTGCAAGGCGCATCATTGGAAGTGCTGAGTGCCATCAATTTCCATTGGGTGTTGAGCGTACTCAGGGTATGTCTACACTTCCCGTGGATCGATGCTGCGGTGATCAATCCACTGGGGGTTGATTTAGCAGGTCTAGTGAAGACCCGCTAAATCGACCACAGATCTCTCTCCCGTCAACTCCGGTACTCCACCAGAACGAGAAGCGTAAGGTAAGTCGACAGAAGAGTTTCTCCAGTTGACCCAGCAGGGTGTAGACAATGCAATAAGTCAACCTAAGCTACATTGACTCCAGCTTCGTTATTCACGTAGCTGGAGTTGTGTAACTTAGGTTGACTTAACCCCGTAATGTAGACCTGCCCTCAGTGTCCCCAGGATTGGGTTCTAGGGCTCCAGCCTGCTTCTACCAAGGCAGAGCTGGGAAGGGGTGGAATGTCAGAAATGGAGGCCAAGTGTCAGAGGAAGTCTTTCTTTAAAACCAAACATCAGTGCCCAGAGGTTATTATGCCTCTGTCAGATGGCTTGCGGAGGTGACAGAGGCCAGGTGCAATGGCTTCTTGGCACAGAACTTGGGAGCAGCCTAGCGGTGTTAGGTGGGAGGAGGGAGCTCTCTACTTGCTGGGAGCATTGGGGGAATCTTCTAACACTTCTTGTAGAGAGGTGGGAGGAATAGTGTTCTGGAGCTGGAGTGGGAGTGAAGGGGCAGGGAAATTGGAAGGGAGAGGATCAGGAGCTGAGACTTTCCTCCCCCACCCCCTTTGGGTTCTAAGGATAAATATATTTCTCCTTCAGGTTCTAAGGGGTGATCCAAGATGTCAGTGAGGAGAGGGGCTTATTAGCATGGGACCATGGATATGACTTTTGCATCACATTTTAAATGCTTTAATAAGACGCCAGAGAGTAGAGCTTTGCGGCCTACAGGCCAGGAGCTGGATCCAGGCCACGGTCTATGCCAAGGGGACACTGGAATATGGTGCAAAGCTGCTACCATCTTCCCTGCTCTAGGGGCATCAGAATGGGCCAAGCACAGACTCCAAAGTGGACCGTGCTGGCTTGGATGCACTGATTCAGCACATTCTCCCTCTGCCAGCGGGGCTTCTGCAGAGCCTTGACTGTTGTTTAGAGTTGACCATCCTTGGTGGTAAAACCCAAGGGAGGTCAGCAGCAGGACCACCGCATGCTTCCTTCTTGGAGCATAGCTGCTCTCAGACCCAGCGGGCTGGGCTAGCACAGTGAGGCTTAACGTACGTCCTTCTCAGGGAAGGCAATGGAACCAGAGTACTGCTTCTTGGCCTTAAGGAATGACCTGCCTTAGACAATAATGTTCCCAGCCTTTGACCAGGGTAACCATGTTCAGGCCCTTTAGCTCTTCCATCTACAGAGACAAAATAAGCCATTGTAAACCTCAGTCCCCCGTCTAAGAGCCTAATTCAGAACTGGGATAACAACATGCAGCTTCATCAAGAGAGTCTGCATCTGACTACACCCATTCTGAATTTGACCCAATAGATATTAAGTAAAAATGTGTCTGTTTATAAGTATTTGACCTAGCAACTTTATCCACATTTCACCCTAGAGCAATCTTCGTTCCATATATGACCTTAGCAACACACTATTCTAAAACCTTGTTCATTTTCTGGAACTTGAATTACATGCCGGAAAGAGTCATCCGTCAATTCTGATGTCTGCTCAAATCTTTACGTGACAATCCGAGCACCTTGTACAATTAAACTGTGTTCAGAATGGGTTCTCTTTTACATACAAAAAATTGGATAGGAAATTCAGCTCCAATTCTCTGCAAAGGCAATTAGAACAACAGACTACGTACATCTGTTTGACATCTTCCCACTCACTATTCTAGGTGTCAGTATAACAACACACTTGCCACACAGGCCAATTCAAGGTAATTTCAGAATAACTAAGGACTGGAGGCCACAGCTATCAGCTGTCTCCAAAAGGAAGCGAGAAAATAAATGAAGACAGTTAAGAAAAACAAGCTGAAGGTGGAGAGCAGAAATATACAGCTTATATGGGCTAAAATTAAACTCTGCTTTTTTGATAGATGTGATTTAAATCTCACTGATTATTACCATAAAGAAACAACCAACAGTAAAAGCTCCCTTTGTAACTTTCATGAGACTACGTCGGTAGCCAAAGTACTGCCTCCCACACGTGCTGACTTTTGTTTTTGCCGGTGGGTGCTCCTCTCTGCCAACTCCCCCTCATGCGGGCCTCGGGTGGGAAGAGGCCAAGCAGGGGTGGGGCCTTGAGGGGGAAAAGGCTGAGAAGGGGTGGGGCTTTGGGGCGGAGCAGTGGGCAGGGCCTTGGGGGGAAGATGAAGAGTGGGGGTGGGGCCTTGGGGCAGAGCACGGATGGAGCGGGGGGCGGGGCCATGGTCCAGGTGCCGGGGCCCACAAAAGATTAATCCAGTCCTATGGGTGCTGAGCACCCCCTATTTTTTTTCGATGGGTGCTTGAGCCCTGGAGCACCCATGGAGTCGGTGCCTATGCTGCCACCCAACGTCTGGACATAGCTAAGGATTTCAAGACTGGACATTATCCTGTGTGCAAAATATGCAGCCGTCCACACCCCGATTCATTCTTACAGGAGTATTTCACTGCCCCAGAAATAGCTACAGTTAGAGGACTTTCACTCTATCGGCACTGTGAATGATCCTAAGTTCTTGCAGTAGGTAACAAGGAGCTCGGATGCATTAAACTCTCTGGGCCAGGTTCTCTGGTGAGCTTCCAAATGAGGGGCTGAAAATTCACTAGTATCAGGCAGCCCTTAGCTAGGGCAGCTCAGGTATGCTCAGCTCCTGTGCCACATACCCCCCTGCCTGGCCCAAGTGTGTGTGTGCGCACTCTGGCCTTCCTTTGATAAGATACAGTCTCTTGGGACTACTGCTGGCTGACAGGTTAGAGCAGCCCTGAGGTTGCTCTAACCTATGCCAGGGTGGGGAATAGTCTCAGCTAGACAGGAAGCGGGAATAGGCTCCCTGCTGCCCCTTTTGGTTGTCCCCTATGCAAACTAGGCACAGAATATAATCTGGGCCCTTTCTTTATATGAGTTTAATCATAGGAAATTTTAAAAGAGATGGCGGATATTTAAAAAAAATGAGGACGTTATAAAGCAATTATCAAAATGATTAGAGTGACATGGGCCGCTGCTCTATGTCCAGTAGAATTTCCATTATAAAACCCATCTCTAACGACTTGTAGGACAAATTAAGGGTTAATTCATTTAGTGATCAAACAAAAAGCCTCCGCACAGGAGCAGCCACTTTCTCCTCGTCCTCTAAATAAAGATAATTTAAACTTTAATACTAGGATCTGCAGGACAAAGCAGCTGAGCCTGATTCTGCCAGTCCCCCATGTATGAAACGTCTATCAAAATCAATAGGTGTCTGGCAGGATCCAGCCCCATTTGCAGCAATTTCTTTGTATCCAAATTCCAGAAGAATGAAATGAATCAAGAGCAGAAATCATGGCACCAAAAGGCAAACTAGAAAGACTCCTTGAGAATATATAGGGCCATCTATATAGAATCTATACTGAGTCAATAGTTCTTGCATAAAACATTCTCCTAAGCAGATTTTGATACAGCACGTAATGGATGTTTCCGAGTCATTACACTGCACCAAAAATCCATAGAATTTAAGGAGTCCTCAAGAAGGAATTTGTATGATTGAACCCAATGGCAGTTAATGGTCAGTGGGCTTCTCTGAGCATACCTAGTCTTCAGGATAATCAGATCCAAGTCAGCTGCAGTGAGACAGTGTAAACCAGAGCTTTAAAGTAAACTCCAAAAAGAATTGAAACCAAAAATCGATGTTGAAGTGATAACGTTTGAGATCTGGGTCAAGAGGGCAAAAGCTCTGGCTTTCAGAATGAAGACAAAGATTACATTTCTGTCTCCACCGGAGTGTGATCTGACATCACAATATCCTAACAGCGCTGTGCAAAATTTTCATAACAAACCCAAGATTCGGGCAGAGCTCCCTGAGCCTTGAGGACAATGGCTTGTTTGTGGCTTCAGAGGAAACCATGTAAAACTCTGTGGCTTCCCCGGAACCCAGGATAAATGTGATGGTTTGGGCTGAGTTTTGCCTTTTTGGGGAGATTCATTCGAACCTTAAACTCAAAGAAAAAAACCCTCAATCTTGGTCCTGATTCTGATCCTGCTTTCGGCAGTTTTACAAATGGAGTGAATCCTGATTCACAGCAGGCCCAACGGGGGGCAGGAGCACATGAGAAATGGAAAAAGGGTCACACGAACCCCGATGACCCAAACCCTAGGTGTTTCACACAACTCTTTATCCTCGTCACAAGGACACGCTGGGCCAGGTTCTCTGGTAGATTCCAGCTATTTTGCACCGCTCCAGTGACACAAAGGAGTCCCACATCCAGTTGAACTGGCCAGATTGGCACAGAACAGCTGGTGTACACTGGTGAATCTGGACCTTGATACACATAGGCACAAAAGGATGGGTTGGGCCAGATCCTCAGCTGGTGTAAATCAACATCCCTCCTCGCTGAGGTTTGGGGCCAAAATTCTGATCTCACTTACCCCAGCATAAATCCAAGTGACTCAGCTGACTTCAATAGATGTACGCAGGTGAAGATGAAATCAGAATTTGCTCCAAAACCTCATCCTTAAATCTGAATGTCCTTGTTTTTGGGGGGTTCAAAGTCAGACCTTGAATATTAAGTGACTATAACTTAATGGGCTTTAGTATAAAATACTTCATGCATGCTCCATGGCAAGAGTGAAGGAAGTACTGTACAGATCCAACCACAGAGACAATCAGCTTACTGTACATAGCTATACTGGGCTTGGGAAGAGTTCCTGGGTTCTATGCACGCCTTTTAGATCATTGTATTTGTGACTGGTACAACAGAGAGCATGGTTTGGATTTCCTGTTTAAAAATCATTTGATAATATGTTCCTTATGGCATCACTGTTATCTCTCCTTCTTTGTAAGACTGAAAAGAAAAAAAAAGCACATCGATCATTAAGATCAAAGTTGCAGGAAGCCATGGGTCACTTGAACAACGATCACTCACATTTCAATATGAAAGAAGTGTTTTGGAATCACCGAAGGGATCGTTTATGTCCAGCAATTGACCTCAAGACACCACAATCAGCTATAAATGCTTGAACGTTTTCCCTATGGAATGTGTTTGCCGTTTGTAGGAAAGCTTGTTCTTTTTTTAAAAAAAAGATAAAACCTTCTGCTCTATTATGGCCTTGCTCCCCCACAATATAACACTCTTGGAGAGTTTCACAAAAAGAGACGGCAGCAATACTTCAGTGTGCTTTACAAATACGGAAATATTCATTCCACTTGGATTTTTGTTCGTTTGGTTTTTTTACAGGAGGTGTCTCCGAGCTTCCAATTCCACGTGTTTTGAGGAAAAACCCAAGTGAACTGTAACGTTAAAAATAAAAAAAAAAGAGAGAGAGGAGAAGGAAATGCAAGGAGCAGTAGAGTCAGTTGGCGTATTGTGCATAGAAAGCAACTTTTACTCGCTCGATCTGGTGACACAACTTGATGGCGGGGCCAAGTTTCAGCTCCATGCATTCTTGCACGGTTGGGAGCGTCAGTAGCAGGAGTGCTTGGCCATCAATGTCCTAGGGAAAGAAGAGAGAACGAGAAGTTGCTGTGTTCAGACCACTACGCAGAACTTGAAAACGTGGAACAGTCGGTTTTGCTTTAGGGCTGGTCAAAGCAGGATTGACATTCTGGGAGAGGAAGGCGTCTAGCTACACGGCAGCAGCAGCATATTAGTATGTAGGATTTATCTTACATCTAGAGGTTCCAACTGAGATCAGAGCCCCACAGAGCTCAGTGCAGTAGAGACAGTTCCTGCCCCATACAGCTTACACTCTAAATCGACGTGGATGAGAAAGAGGAAATACTATCCCCATTGTACAGGTGGGGAAGCAGGCCCCAGAGAGAGGCCTTAGGTCAGACAGGACATGTGAGGCAGAGCAGGGAACTGACTGCAGAATTTCAGAGTCCTATTCCTTAACCACAACGCCATACTTCCTCTCTATGCTGCGTTGGCCCCTGACCAGGAAGGAAAATCTCTAAGGAGTAGAGGGCAGTTCAAAGCATGCAGTCTTTGGCTTCCCCTGCTACTAACAAAAGTGCTAATTCTGATCTGGCCACTGGGAACCAATTTAGGCCACTGGTGCACTGATACCACTCTTTATGATTGCTGATCACTATGGTCTCATTCCCTCATCGGTCTGTCTTATCCACCTGTTGTCTTTAGTCTTATACTTAGATTGTAAACTCCTTGGGGCAGAGACTGTATTTTTGTTCTGTGTTTGTACAGCTCTTAGCATATCCACTTCTGGTTCATGAGAAGGGCTCCCAGGCTCTCTGATATATATAATAATTAATAATAAAATAACTCATTTCACACAGGCCACTGAACCGCCATCATGGCAATCATTTTCAGACACAACCAATGGGGTTTGGCTTTGAACGGCAAGTGAAAGATTCCTATTGTTCTTCACTGGTTCCCTTAGCTGCTCAGTGCCCCAGATGAAATAGATTTTATAACCATTATCTCCTGGTTTCCTCCTTGGTTCCGCTGGTTAATTAAGAGTTCAAGTCTTTAAGAAAAACAAAAACCGACCAGATTTAAAAGCCAACAAGCAGAATCTGAACATATGATCACAGGGGGAAAATAAAGGAGTCAAACTGCAGTCAAAGAAATTCACAATGTCGACAACACAGTAAAGGTCAGAAACAGCACAAACTAATTGTGTCCACAACTAGATTATTTACCATCCTCTGGACTCCTAAACACAGATGATACATGTACATGGTAAGCACTCTTCTGATCACAAACACCTACTCATGTTATTTTTATATTTCAACTCAATGAACAGGCACATTGCTAGGGGCCCCCAGGGGCTGTCTTGCAGATAAGTAGAGCCAAAGCATTGCTCACGTGCAATTAGTTGAAGATCGATCCCATAGCACTTTCGGCAAGAGGAAGGGGGTTAGCTTTGGTGTCTTGGCAACATTCCAGTCTGGTTAATATCTGATTTCATAGACTCGTAGGGCAGAAGGGACCATTGTGATCATCTAATCTGACCTGCAGAGAACCTCCCCAAAATAATTCCTAGAGCATATCTTGAGATATCATTGACTAGAGATTCCCCCCTTTAGCATGAATTCGATAGCGGTGGATGTTATTCATTAGTGGAGGAGTGACTATTTCTATCTGTCTATCTAGGGCCCATTGAAAGGCACTATTAGCTTGATGACAGCAGTGCTCAGCTCCTGCAGATTTAATTGCCTTTAATTGGAAGCGTGAAGAACATCTTAAAATCAGGACACGTTTTTAGGAGCCTGCCTATGGATTTTGGTGCCTAATTTCAGTCAGACAATTTCGACCAAGCCCGAAGCCATCCACGGATTCAGAATCTGGGTCTTCTGCGTCCTGGTCCAGTGCTTAAGCTAATTATGGTAGCTAGGGTGACATTCACACTTGTGTCATCAGACATCCTACATACCATTTAAGTGCCACCTAAGCCCGATTTTAGGGGTGCAAGTGATGCGTGGGCCTCCTACTGACTCTGACAAGGGTGAATTTCACCCTTAATGAACAAGGAAGATCTGTTCTTCACCCTTTTCATAAAGGCTCAGTTGCACTTTCCTGTGCGGTGAATAAACACCATTACTACAGTGTCTGCACCCAGAGAGAGGTAAGATGCGGCAGCATACCTGTTCCTGAAATATTTTGGCTAGGGGAGCGCAGTCTGTCAATTTAATAAACCTCACAACGTCAGTCACTGTCCACTCCAATGGATTGCTGTCGAGGATGAGTTTCTCTTCCTCTTCTTGCTTTATTTCCTGCAAGAGCCAAAACACTTGTAAAGAAAAGGTTACAGTGCCCAGAATGACTCATCTGTAGATCATGTGGCACTCTCTGCAGATGATTAACACTTGATACAGAAGGTTACATCAATGGAAAAAATATTGCCATTAATTGGGAGCAAAGTAGTCCACCAATATACTCACTTCCTTGACTTGAGTGCACTTCTCTCCTTCAGGGTATGAGAGAGACTGTGTTTTGCGTCCCCTTCTAGCTCTCTCGATGGGAGCAGGTCTGTCTGACTCCGTGCTGCTCCGTAACGTCACTGATCTTCTTGGTCGGGCTGAAGGTACCTCAGCAGAGGAGGTGTCAGTCTGGTCATCACGTAGCTCTGAGCTGGTTTCTTCGCTCCCTGTCTCATCTTCCATAGCATCTGGCTCCTCCTCTTCGCTTTCCTAGAGCGAGATCGTCACGGAAACATTATGACATAGGGATTAACATGAGGTCACATCCTACTCTCATTTACACTAGTGTCAAACCAGAGTCACACCACTGACTTCAGCTGAATTACACCCCTATATATGCCACAGTGTCATACCATTTAGGCCCCCAAGTTTAGGTTCGGTTACAAAACCTAGTATTAAAATGAATTTGTAGTCCTATTTTTTTTAAATGTCAATGAAAACAGGTTTTTGTTTCAATGTGAACGTTCCTCTGCTGTGCTTGCAACTCTAACACTGCAATCTTGTGTTAAGGCATGAGAACTGGGAAGTGAAACTGACTAAAAAAAAAAATGAAACTGACTAGTTTTGTTTTCATTGTCCAAGCTGAGAGAAGGTAAAAAGCAAATTAGATGTTAAAGCATTCTTCTTTTGAAGTCCTCAAAGTGATGGAAAAATGTACCACATCCTTTGATAATCTACTCCAATGATTAATTACCCTGACTGTTAAAAAAAGAAGCACTAAAGCTGGTCAAAAAATGTTTCGTTTCAAGTTTTTTACTGGAAAATACCATTTTCACTGAAATGGAAACATTTAGAAAAATGTGTCAATTTTGATGAAATTTTGTTTAGGCAATAAAAACTGAAACAAAGCATTTTGATGATGTTGAAATGTCCCACTTTCATATTTTCAGAATGGAATATTTAGATTTTTCATTTCAAAATGACTTTTCCAAATGATATTCATTGTTTTTATGTAAAAAAAAAAAAGAGGTTAAAAAGTTTTTTAAAAAGTGAAAAATTGGAAATGTTTTTATTTTATCAAAAGGAAACATTTTGATCGATCCAACACAGAGTTTTTTTTCAGAATTTCATTTAGTGTGAAATTGAAATGTTCTGATTATCATTCCATTTTGGAATGGAAAACAATTAAAATGTGGAGAATTTCCTGCAAAACAGAAAATCCAGCTCCTCATCGGCTCTGATAAGCACAGTATTTCCAAATTTGTAATTCTACAATGTCCCTCATAAACAAAAAATGCTGGACACTGAACATATATATGTAAATGCACACAACAGATGAAATGCTGCTCAGAATTTGAGCTTCAGTAAATGTCAGTGCATTGTTTTGCCTACATTTGGGTTTTCTTAATGAGAAATCAGAATTTGACCAAGGATGATTATACTTTAATCCTGCCATCATTTGCAAACATTCAAGCCCATTAACTTGGAAGGGCTTGAGTGAGTATTAAGGCTGCCCAGTTTGTCTTGTCTCACATTTTATGGTTTTGTCTGTTACCAGAAATCATATTGCACACGTGAACTGAGTTAATAATGACTATTAACTGCACCATTCAGGGGCACACAAATCTTACCCCTCCAAGGGTAAATGTACACAGCAAAAACTGTGCATGGGCTAGCCTACCTGAGCGGGATTGAATCCAGCCATCGTGGGAACAATATCGGCGAAGACGGAGCCACATGGGTCTCAGGGCACGTTGTACAACCCTGGCATGGACCCGGAGTACATACTTGACTCACTAGCGCACTTTGAAGCCCACGCTTTGCTGTCTTCATTGGTCTATGGTTACCCATGCTAGCTGGAATTAAGCTCGCTCGGGCAGGTTAGCCTGTGTGCAGCTTTTGCTGTGTAGACAAACCCTAAACATCACCCAGCCTCGCCACTTTGTTCCACTTCATAGAATCATAGACTTTAAGGTCAGAAGGGACCATTATGATCATCTAGTCTGACCTCCTGCACAACACAGGCCACAGAATCTCACCCACCCACTCCTGTATCAAACCTGTGTCTGAGCCATGGAAGTCCTCAAATCATGGTTTAAAGACTTCAAGGTGCAGAGAATCTTCCATTTATCTCACTTGCTTAGGGTATGATCCAAAGGTCATTGGAGATAGTGTAAAGGCTCCCATTGACTTCAGTGTGTCTTGGATCCACACCTGATTTTGATGTGTGTATGATTTGGGCCCAAGTCCCATAAACACTTGCTCCTTGTCTCCACTCAAAGGGTTTTCAGCTATAACTATATTGGTATAGCTATGCTGGCAAACCCTCCTAGTGGAGAAACAGCTTAGATGGCAAAAGAATGCTTTTGTAGATATCCAGTAGAACCTCAGAGTTACGAACCCCAGAGTTACAAACTGACCGGTCAACCTCACACCTCATTTGGAACTGGAAGTGGGCAATCAGGCAGCAGAGAGAAAAAAATAAAAGGCAAATACAGTACAGTACTACTAAAAATAATAAAGGGAAAGTATAAACAAAGATTTGACAAGGTAAGGAAACAGTTTCTGTGCTTATTTCGTTTAAATTAAGATGGTTAAAAGCAGCATTTTTCTTCTGCATAGTAAAGTCTCAAAGCGGTTTGAAGTCAATGTTTAGTTGTAAACTTTTGAAAGAACAACCAGAACGATTTGTTCAGAGTTACGAACATTTCAGAGCTACGAAAAACCTCCCTTCCTGAGGTGTTCGTAACTCACAGGTTCTACCATAGCCTATAACAGTTACCTGAATGAAATGAGCAAAAGGCCTTTTTTGCCAGTATAACTATGTCTACACTAGGGGTTTTGCCAGCAAAGCTCTGCCGGTTAGAAGCGGGATTTTTTTTCACACTCCTAACCACCATAGCTATGTCAGCAAAGCTTTTAAGTTTAGACCAGGCCTTAACAGGTGCTTAACTTTACCCATGAATAATGCCATTGGATTCACATGGTCTACTCATGTGTGAAAAGTTAAGGATGTGGATAAGGGCTTGTCCACACGTGTTGTTGCATTGGTTTAACTTCAGGTGTTATTTCAGACAAACTTAGTTAAACTGGTTGCAAAGGTTGGGTGGACACTTATTTCTGTTCAAGAGTACTTTATCTGGGTTTAGGTTAAATTGACTACGCACGTTTAAGCTAAACCAAAATAAGTCACTTTTAAACAGAAATAAGAGTATCCACATGGGACCAGTTTAACAGCACCAGTTCACGCAGGTGTGTAGACAAGGCCTACATCTTTGTAGGATTGAGGCCACAGAATGTAGAGTCGGGACAGTCTCGTCTTTCACTTGTTCTGTAAAGCACCTAGAACAATTTTAAGTGCTGTGAACTTAACATATTAAGCAATAAGTAATGAATAGAGTACTGGAACCCATGCTGACTCAAGTGTGACTTATAAATGTCCTTTCCGCATCTAGCATTTGTATTGCAGTACTGTCTCGGAGCGCTAGTCATGGCCCAGGACCCCACTGTGCTAGGAGCTGTACAAACACAAACAAAAAGACAGCCCTTGCTCCAAAAAGCTTACAATCTAAGTAGAAGACAAGAGACAACGGATGGATACGGACAGACAGATCACGGAGCACAAGGAAACAATGAGCATGCCAGCTGCTTAACTAGTGTCAAACTTTTGTAGGCATCACAGCAAAGCAGAGCTTCAAGGAGAGATGTGAAGGAGGACAATGGCTTTCAGGATATTTATGGGGAGCTCCTCCCAAAGGTGAAGGGCAGCCCTAGGGTGCTTATTGAAAATGTATATTTCCAAAAAGCAATGTCATGTGCTGAGCACCGTTCTATAGCATGGCGAATGAGCACAGCCCAATGTGTACCTCTGCAGATCCCACAGCGTTAAAATCGACAGCTGACGACCTCCTTTTCTTCTGCACAAAAATGGATTTCCGCCTCTTTCTGCGTCTTGCTGGTTTGATGTGTCCACTTTTCATGTTGTTATTTTCCCCAATTGGAGGCTTAATGATTTTTTTCCTCTTCCCATAATAATAGGCTGGAGCAAAACATACAGTAAAAACATAACCACAAAGAAAATTAAGCTTTTGCTTGCTTTATGCTATCGATCCAATGTAAAACACCACTACTTCACAGCAGCTTTCATAGAGAACTTTAAAGAAATCTTGATTGTCAGACAATATCCCAAGGAAGAATGAAATACTTGATGCTATCTTGGCCTATTGTCACAAAATGGGCAAAACTATTATAATTTAGACATCTATTCATACATATTTATTCACTATAGGTTAAATCCTGAAGTCCTTACTTAATACTTACTTAGGCAAAACTTTTGCTGTACAGGCTGAGAATTTTGCCTGAATAAGAACTGAATAAGAATTCTGATCTGTTGCACCACTATAAATCTAGAGAGTATCTGCCAAAATCTATGGCGTTGCCCCGGATTTATATCTGGGTAGCTGAGGCTCCAGCTGGGTCAGATCTGAAGTTCATAGCATGAAAATTACAGGCCCAACTTTCAAAGGTGTGGAGAGTCTGCAGATGCCATCTGTTTCAATGGGAGCTTCCGGCATTCAGCTAGGGTGACCAGACAGCAAGTGTGAAAAATCAGGATGGGGGTGGGGGGTAATAGGAGCCTATATAAGAAAAAGACCCAAAAATCGGGACTGTCTCTATAAAATCGGGACATCTGGTCACCCTACATTCAGCTCTTCTGAATATCATGGCCAAAGTATTTGTTGAGTCAATGCAGCAAAGATCTGACTTCTGTTGACTTCAGTGGGCTTTGGCTCAGGTCCTAAAAGAATAAATATTTTTCTATATAACAACTAGTCCCAAACTGCATATTAGCTGTATATAGAGACACAGGGCCTGATTCTCCTCTCACTGTGCTGTCAGTCAGGAGTGACTCATTTGAAATCAATAACATTATACTAGTGTAAAATTCGTGTGAGAGGAGGATGTAACCCAAGTCTACCTTCAGGATCTGATTCAGCAGTCAATTGCTGTTCAGCAAAGTTGACTTCAGGGAAGCATAAGCATGTGCTTAACTTTAAGCGAGAGCCTTCCTGAATAAGGATGCACTTGAGTGCTCAGTTGGAGCGTCAGCTACCCAGACGTAAATCCAGGGCAGTGCCATAGATTTTGGCAGACACACTCCAGATTTATAGTGGTGCAACAGATCAGAATCTGACTTATTAGCAATGAATAACGTGGTCCAAAGAAGTTACTCCTTTAAAAGTTAAGCAAAATACAGCCTATGCAAGATCACCACCAACTGGATGTTGGTGCATATTAGTGAAAGTAAACACCTGATACTGCAGAGGTTAAAAGAACAAAGAATGGCAAATAGTGTGGTAACCAACCAAAATCATCTTCTCAGGAGGCGTACCGCAGGATTTTTCTGACAGCGTGGCGTGTACATGCACACGCAGCACAGGTATAAATAGCAGTGCAGATGATGAGGCTGTAAAGACACACCTGAGGGGTGTGGGTATGTACCTGGACCTGCACCATGTGTGCGAGATCATGCCAGCAAGGGTGGGGTGGAACGCTCTTCAAAATGCCGCCCCCTTCCGGGTGGTGTGATCTCACGTGAGGTCATGCTGGTGGGGACAGGGTCATGCAGGCGGGGGCAGGCCCACGCCTTTCCCAGAACGCCCAGTATTCTGGGAATGGCCACCCTACTGCTGCAGCGGAAGCCCTTCCTCGGCTTGGGAAAAGATTCCGGCAGCAGGGAAAAGCTAGCAGCTGCCTGCTGCTGGAGCCCTTCTCTTCCACAGGGAAAGGCTCTGGCAGTGGGGAAAGGCTTCCAGCTCCCCACTGCGGGAGCCCTTCTGCTCCATAGGGAAAGGCAGCTTCTCCAGCAGAGCCTTTCGCTGACACCGGTAGCTACACACTGCAGGGTGGAGGCAGCCTGTTTTTCACTGCAGCCTGTGGCTGTACATATACTCCACTCTGCCAAAAGCGGTGTGTTGTTTACACGTAGCCTTAATGTAACAGGTGGCCTGAGTTGGAAAATATTAGATCAGGGATCGGCAACCTTTGGCACACAGCCCGCCAGGGTAAGCCCCCGGGCCAGGCTGGTTTGTTTACCTGCTGCGTCTGCAGGTTCGGCCGATCGCGGCTCCCACTGGCCGCGCTTCGCCGCTCCAGGCCAATGGGGGCTGTGGGAAGCGGTGGCCAGCACATCCCTCGGACCGCGGCCAGTGAGAGCTGCGATCAGACGAACCTGCGGATGCAGCAGGTAAACAAACAGGCCTGGCCCGCCACAGGGCTTACCCTGGCGGGCTGCGGGCCAAAGGTTGCCAATCCCTGTATTAGATACTCCAACTGGCATCCTTTTATAGACAGAGAAAACGTAAAGAGTCCATGGGAAAAAAGCGAACCCAATGGCAGGCCAAGCAAAGATCCTTGGGGCATGAAGTTGGAGGGAGACTCTAAAATGGAGACCATGGAGGACTGGGTTTGTGACCTCCCCTGCACATATCCCACTGTGGGTCCGTCTGGCTTGGTGCAGAGTGACCTGGTGAGTGCTCAGTTCCCTGTGCTAGAGAGAGGAGGCCTAGGGTGCTGAGCACCAATCAGAGAGCTCAGCCCAAAGGACTTGCTGCATTAGTGTTACCAGGGCCGGCTCCAGGCACCAGGCAACCAAGCTGGTGCTTGGGGCGGCACCTGGAGGGGGGCGGCGCGGTGCTCCGGCCGCCGGGGAGAGCGGGGCCACAGCCGGGCTCGCCGCCCTCCCCCCGGCGCTCTGGCCGCCCCCCCCCCGGGGGGCGGGGGGCGGGGAGGGGCGGCCGGAGGCTTTTTTGCCTGGGGCGGCAAAAAAGCCAGAGCCGGCCCTGAGTGTTACTATCTGCAATATCTTATGCTACAGGTAAGAAAGAAAGGTATCAAATTAAGTTTATTTTTATAACTATATCATGAACATCCTCCCACCGCTCTGATTCCTTTCTAGCGACAGAGCAATCCTTTAGCTGATACTCACTGTATTTCGTTTTGGTATGAATGGAGCAGTTCTCAGGGCAGACTTCGGCAACCAGCACAGGGCTAAACAAATTTGGACAGCACTCCAGTTTTGCACAGACTCTTCTGCAGAAATCTGCCACTTGATCAGACGTTCGCACAATCTTGACTGTTGCCCTGTACGTTTTCCCTCTGTATCTAGGAAAGAATATTGCAAGATCACACATAACTAATGAAGTGAGAACAGGGGATGCTATAAACCCAGTCCTGCCCTCTATTACATAGATGCTCCTCTCACTGACTTCAAGGGGGGAGGGATAGGTCAGTGGTCTGAGCATTGGCCTGCTAAACCCAGGGTTGTGAGTTCAATCCTTGAGGGGGCCAGTTGGGGATTTAGTTGGTCCTACTTTGAGCACGTTCTTCTACTTCTAAAAACATTAAAATGTATTACTGGCATGCAAAACCTTAAATAAATGAAGACTTCTGAAAGGTTGCTGACCCCTGCACTTGAGCGAATGCATGGTAGAGCAGTGGTTTGGTACTATAAATATGCGCAGAGGAGAGAAAAGTAAAAAGAGCTCGCTGGACTGGAACTGAAGAAGAGCAAAGATACTGTAGCCAAGATGGATGGGAGAAGGGACGCAGGCAGCATGTGTGACAGCAGCACTGAGGCCAGGAGCTCTTGAACAGGAGGGCAGATGCTACCAGACAGACTTGGACCAGGGCAAAGAAAGGAGAGTGGGATGTGGAACAAAGGAGAGATGACCAGACAGATGTGAGGAGAGGCATGCTTAAATGACCTGTCACTCTAAGACTGAAAGTTATGCCATAACTCAGAGAGTAACTGTTAAAGCTTAACTTCCTTCTTTAGGAAACCACCACAATCCTGTTCTGGAAATGTGGAGGTGCTTTACGATGAGTATGGAGATATACCTATCTCATAGAGCTGGAAGGGACCCTGAAAGGTCATTGAGTCCAGCCCCCTGCCTTCACTAGCAGGACCAAGTACTGATTTTGCCCCAGCTCCCTAAGTGGCCCCCTCAAGAATTGAACTCACAACCCTGGGTTTAGCAGGCCAATGCTCAAACCACTGAGCTATCCCTCCCCCCAATAGGGAGAGCTATCCCTATCTGAGCCTCAGGACCATTGCAAGTTATCAGTGTCTGTGATGCTCAGAGGCCTTTATTCAATGGCAACTTAGGCGGAAAACTAAAAATGATCTGAACTTTGTTTTTACAAAACCACAAGTGATCAAGGGTCAGCAAGGTGCAAATGATACTGCCCATTACTACGCTGACTGCAAATGGTTCTAGGGTATAATTAGCAATCATACAATGCTTTACAGTCACTGTACTTTAGGTACCTAATTCCCTCTGAATTCAATGGGAGTTAGTGCCTAAATACCTTTAAAAATCTGGTCCTCTCTCATGAGGACTCCCATGTGTTTTCAAATGATCTGATTGTTTATGAGTCGAGAGAGACTCCAATAGGCGTGCTGTACAAAATGGAAAAAACGCTCTCTTTCCCCTCCCAAGAGGTAAGAGAACATTACTGTCCCACTGCACAGATGGCATGACTGCCGGGAGAGCAGAGAACGTCATAGTTAAAATGGGTTCTACAAAACCTAATATGAACAGAAATGATTATATAGGAAATAACACCAACAGAAACCAGTCCTTCCTAGGGGACAAATTCTTCCACCTTTAATTCATAGATGCATAGACTTTAAGGCCAGAAGGGACGATCAGATCATCTAGTCTGATCTTCTGTGTAACTCGGGCCAGAGAATTTCATCCAGTTACATCTGCACTGAGCTGCAATAACTTGTGCTTAGCTAAAGCATCTTTTCCGGAAAGGCGTGATTTGAAGACATCAAGTGATGGAGAATCCACCACTTCCCTTGGCACTTTGTTCCAATGGTTAATAACCCTGTTAAAAAGTTGTACCTTATTTTTAATTGGAATATATCTGGATTTAACTTCCAGCCATTGGTTCTTGTTGTACCTTTTCCCACTGGGTTAAATAGCCCTTTAGCATCTGGTATTTTCTCCTTGTGAAGGTACTTCTATTCCTCAAATGAAGTTACCTCTTGATCAGTAGCATAGTCAAGGGTAAACATCAGATAAACTGAGTTAATCCACTTCTCACTGGGCGAATGGGGAGTTTAGGTTACTTCACCCACTTCTTTTTCTATTGCTACACCACTGCTCCACATCTTCTTTTTCACAAACTAAACAGTTTGAGCTCAAAGTCCTACATGCACCATTTAACATGAGTAAGAATGGCAGAATCTCAACCTTAAATGTGTACTACGCCCTGTGGTGCTGTGATCCCAAAGAGGACAGCATTGTACTACAGGGCCTGCAAAAGCAAAAGGTGGAACTAACAAGAAGGGGAAAAAAAGCAGACCAGTCATTTCATTGTCCAGGTGAGATACAAAGAATGAAGAACCAGCATGGATGGGGAAACACAAATGTGAGTTTTATCATTAAATCTGTCTCGGTGAGTCAAGTTGTTATTAGTGGCTACAGGTATGGAATCAAGTATCAGAGGGGTAGCCGTGTTAGTCTGAATCTGTAAAAAGCAACAGAGGGTCCTGTGGCACCTTTAAGACTAACAGAAGTATTGGGAGCATAAGCTTTCGTGGGTAAGAACCTCACTTCTTCAGATGCAAGGTATGGAATATAATTTTAAACATGATTCTGGTCTTGGCAGTATCTCTGTAAGCTGTAAAACAAGATTTACTAATATTTTCCATACATACCACTCTTTAAACCTTTTAACACTAAAGTCATTAATGTAATCTGAACTACTCTCTGACAGCCTCAGGAAAAGACCTACGCTGGCTACAATTAGAAAACCATTTTTCTATTACTGTCATTAAAATATTACTGTTATTGATATTCTATTTTCCATCATGATAAGAATCTCATTTTGCCAGGTACTTTTAAGTAATAAGCATCCTGCACTAATAACCTGGGAGCACTGTAAGACTTTAAAATTCAGCAATATCAACTGGAGCGCTAAGCCCAGTTGAACAATCTTGCTTTTCTAATTACATGTTTTACATCTAAAGCCAAAGGAAAAAGAATCTTCAAAGATCCCTACAGTAATGACCCATATAGGAGAATTTACTAGGAAAAACAAGCTAAGGCATCCTCCAAGACATGAAAAGCCTAGTGCTAAATAGATATTTCAAACAGCGGGAGCTCTCAACAGTCCTCAAAGCACTTAACCGTTTCAGAATTCAGCCAATAGTCCCACTGGTCATTGGGGCTATTTTGAATAGTCAACTGACTAGCAAACTTGAATTTCCTTCAACAGTTCTTGGACCCTGCCCCTTTCCTCAGCAAGGAACTCACTGCTTACCTCACTGAAAAAAATAATCAACTGTATATGAGGGAGAGTCTTGCAGAACAAAGTACGCACCACAAACACCCCAGGCCAACCCTCACCATCCCTAAGAGAAACCACAGCTCTCACAAATACAATACTAGAGGCTCTGAAGAACATCTGAGGCCTGGTCTACACTGGGAGGGGTGGGGGATCGATCTAAGATACGCAACTTCAGCTACGAGAATAGCGTAACTGAAGTCGACGTATCTTCGATCGACTTAGAATCACTTACTTCGCGTCCTCGCGGCACGCCGCGGCTCCCCCGTCGATTTTGCTTCCACCTCTTGCTGAGCTGGAGTTCAGCAGTTGACGGGAGAGCGATCGGGGATCGATTTATCGCGTCTACACTACACGTGATAAATCGATCCCCGATAGATCGATCGCTACCCGCCGATCCGGCGGGTAGTGTAGACATAGCCTGAGTCACTAAATACGAGCTGGACCCTGCCCTTCATGGCTGGTGAAATCCAACGCAGACTGGGACTGCTACTGATATAAACCCTCAATGTTTCTCTCCGAGATCCTGACTCCTTGAAGCATGTGGGTTTTTTTCTAGCAAATTCTCCAAAAATAAATAATCCTGGATGCCAATGATCTCACAAATTACTGCCTCCCTTTCTAGGCAAAATCAATGAAAATGTGGCCATGACCTTACTCTAGCAGTATCTAATCTTCCACCAACATCTTAGACTCCTCATAATCAGGATTCAGTCTGGGCCTTGGGATTCAGACTGGGCGCACCCCTGACATGGCCTCATCATGGTTATGGAGAGAGGTTACACTTCTGTGCCAGTCCCATTTGATCTATCTGCAGCCTCAGATGACCAAACAATGCTACTGACCCACACATGGGACATCACAGACGTGGATGGTGTAGCTTGAAACTGGCTTTAATAATTTGAAAGTTATCTAACAACCTAAGCCGTTTCCAAATATGCACTTTACACACCCTGGATCGTTTTAAAAATGGCCAAATGAAATGTTATCAAAAACTTCCCTGAAAAATATTCACCGTTGGGTTAACAATGAGCATGAGACATTTTAACCAAAAGTAGCTGTAACTATGTGGGTGAAATGAGACAATCGCCATGCTCCTGAATGAATTCACGCAGAAAAATGGTAAAAGACAACGACATCCTATCGCCCGTAAGTGAACATTTTCCACAAATCACTCTATATCTGACCTCTCAGTCCTCATCCTCAAAGGAAACCTGCTCAACACTTTCAAAAGACGAGCCCGGGAGCTTAAATTCATAACTTTGCTAGACACTAAAAATCATGCACTGAACAGAGACACTAGATTTATGGCTCATTACAACAATCTATAACCGACGAACCCTCCTTTGTCCTACAATTACAGAGATATTTACTGCCCACTTCACCTTGAATGGCATCTTACCATGCGTCTTAACTCCTTATGCTAAACAATCTGTTCCACTTTGTATTTAGCTGCGACGCTCGGAGTACGTTTCCCAGGGCTGAAGAAGAACTCTGTTTAAGCTCAAAACCTTGTCTCCTTCACCAACAGAAGTTGACCCAATAAAAGCTATTAACTCACCTACTTTCTTTCTCTTAATATCCTGGAACCAACACGGCTACAACACCACTGCATACATCTTTAACCATAACATTATTATTGCTGAAATATTCATGGCCTGATTGTAGAACCCGTACGTACATTGGTGAGCACTGATTTGAGTTGGTAACTCCATGAGCACCAATGGGACTTTTCCAATAAGTAAGTGTTCACCAGGGTGAGTGGTCCACAATTGGGCCCTAAATTAGTATATTATGACAAAATT